AAGATGGGCGACATATACATTTAATAAATAAATTAATAATACTGTATAGAAGGAGTTATTAAGGATGGAATGATGAGTGAAGGATATAGTTAATACATTATCTATTTCCTTTCTGTGTTCCTTTTTGTAATATCCATGGCAGGATACTGTAAAAGCTGGGAGGTTTGTAGCCAGTTAGGACAATCAGAAGGCTATCAAGACATGGAGGTTCGGCAACAGCTCCTGGCCTATGCTTTGACATACTGTCCCCCAAGTGCCATAGAAATGCTATTGGCAGCAAGCAATATTCTACAGACTGAGGTATGTCGTGATTTCCTAAATCCCTATTTGCTGCCTGATTAAAGAATAACAAGTTTCATCTTTATGCTGGTAGAGTATGGTACTGGACGATTGCGTTGAATAAAATACTTAAAAAGCAAAACAAAGTCAAAATGGTATACATGGGTTTATTTTGCTCCTTGCATAAAATTCTATTGTCAGTCAATAATACTTAAAAAAAGACAGTTTGTTGTATTATACACTAGATGTTAAAACCACATTCTTATTTGACTATTCAGTAATTGGAATGGGAAAAAACCTTATATTACAATGGTGTGTGTCTGTGTATGTGTATGTGTGTGTCTGTGTGTGTGTGTGTGTGTGTGAGAGAGAGAGAGAGAGAGGAAAAAAAGTATCAGTATCTTTAGGAATTGATTGGGGAGAATAGAATAACAGGAATAAAACTGATAATTTTTGGTGTTAGCACACCCTTACCTTTTTGTTATGCATAAATATATCATCTACGCTTCTTCAAAAAACACTGCTGGTTTGTGGATGATTTGTGGTGTTTTCCGGTGACATTCATCATTTTAAAAAAAAGGCCAAAAAATCTAAAATAGCCCCATTCTTTTTATTCCTGCATAGGTTTGTAATACTTGTTGCATAAAATTGAGAGGAGCAAACTAATTGATCAAGGGCATTTATGGTTTACAAAGAACCATAAGTAAGATTTTTTTATATTCATTCAAAGTGTTATTTGCATTGTAATTTTTGCCATTATCCATACAGATTTTCACTTAGCTTTATCCTTTCTTTGTCTATTCCCATTTGTTCTAATATGAAGAGTAAATGTAGCCATTAGTCATAGGAATTACATTTTATTATGCCAAACTTCCCTAGAAGGAAATTTATTAAATGATGATGGGGAAGGTGAAGATATGTGAGCCCATTCAAAATGTAGAGTTCCTAAAGCTTTTTGTTGCCATGAAAATAGTAACAGAACTCTGAAGAGTTCTTAAAGTAAATGTGGTTTTATTTCTGCTGCTTATTACAGATTCTGCAGCCGTATATGTATTTATGTTCTTTCTAAGTTAATGTAAACACCTGTAAAATTCTTGCTCCTTGTACAGTTTGTTCTTCACTTTCTTTTTTTCTTTTACTTATATGCATTTCTTCTCATGATATGCATAGAATACATAGAATATATTACACAGGCTCCCCCCCCTATTATTTTAAATGATTACGGGAAAGGCATAGCTTCTGATTTTTAAATTAGTTGAAACAGACTGTGTTACATTATACATTTTTATTATGCTGTAAATCAGGGTATGCTTCCATCTGGAAAACAATTTAAATTATTTTTGAGGAGCGGGGGGTGCAAAATTTTCACTACTGTATTCAGTCCTGATTTGGCCTGAATGGATTTTAAAATTCCACCAAGGGGTACTTTAACAAAAATTGTAATTTCATTTGTAGGTTCTTTATAACACAGTCAACTATCAAATACGACCATCTGAAAAGGGAGAAAATGTAAATATTTCCCGATCATCAATTGGAATGAAATTAGAGTGTCCTCCTGAGGTAAAACTTTTTATATAATACGGTTTCCTCCCCTAATTTCATTTCCTTCAGAATTAACATTAGTTTCTCAAAAATAGCTTCTAATGTCTTCCTTTTTTTCTTACCTCCTTTTTACTTAAGTATCTCACTTCTTCATACTTCTCAGTTTGACTTTCACTCACTTTGCTTCTTTTTTTTTTTTTCTCTTAACTTTTCTATGTTCAAAGTGTAGCTCTGAAGTCTTCCATGGTTTAAATATCACGCAGTTTGTATAACTTAATATAATTGCACTGAGACAATCAGTAAGACCAAGGTATTGCAATACAAGGGACATATCAAAGAAAGAGTTCAGCATGGATTTCTCGTTTGTTTCTATCTGAAGGACATATGACTGAAGGGAGAAGTAAGAAAATTGCAGAACCGAAGTACGAAGACTGCCCCATCTGAAAATGAAAGGGGATAATTCTGAAAGGAGAGAGCATAGAATAGAAATATTCTCCCATTCTTTTTGCTGCCTCTATTCAGAAGAGGCAAATTGAAAAGCAGGGTGGTGGTGGTAGTTTTTAATGAGGAAGAAATGGAAATGGAAGCTGTCCCAGGCAGGAAGTTGGAAGAATAAATACATGGGAATTTTTTATTTTATTTTTATTTTTATTTTTTTTAAAAACTTATATACCGCTTCATAGGGCTTTCAGCCCTCTCTAAGCGGTTTACAGAGT